GAATATGTGAATATATTAATATCATATCAATAAAATTGGGTTGCTTACCCATTCCCTTGGTGCAGATGGTCGAAACTTGTTTTTAGTCTCACTTGGAGAACACAGTCAGTAGTACTTGGCGCATCCTTATTACTGAACTTTTAAAACATTATCACTGGATGTCTGGTTTTCCAGCCCATATCAAGCATTACCCAGGTCTGGGACTTGAGGCAGCGTGGCCTGATAGGCGGAGTGTTGACATGGGCCCAGGAGGGCTTTGCGTCGTCCCAGGTTTGCAGCTAACCCGCTGACTGCTTCTGTCCACATCTTTACCCTGATTCGCCCACCAGGCACTTCTCTGCCCTTGCAAGTAAGTCTTTCCACTGCTGTTAGCACACGATCCTGGAGTGCTGATTCAGTGTGTAAGCCTAGGCCTCGCTTGTAGATATGTCTAGAGAGGGGTGTTTTGCTTCAATGGAATCCAGGAACAAATAATGAAAAGTACACCAAGTACAAGGCCGAGGACAGACCAGGCACACTCTTATCAGTCATCTGAAATATGCACAGCCTTTCCAAAACAAATATGGACTCCTGTTTCTAGGAAAACACCAAAAAGTACTTATCAATCACCCTGTATATGGTTTGTGGAGAAAGACAACATCAGCCTACCCCGGAAGCCACAGCAAAGCAGATTCCTTTGGGCAGCGGACAGCTGAGGGCCGTGAGTGAGAGCCGCCGCAGAATCCCAGACTGTGGCCTGGGACCAGTCCGTGGAGCCTTTCCTCTCCCTCCTGTGATCACTGTGCCCCTCACCCTACGCCCAGGCAGCTGAGCTCAGCCTAGGAGAAGCTGGGGAGCTGGTGTGTTCTGACTCACGCGCAGAGCCTCTCACTCTTCTTCCTGACCCGTTACAAGTCCAGAGGTGCCTCTCCCGAAGAGATTTCCTAGGAGACTAGAGTGTGGCCAAGCGGAAGTCCAGGAATAACAACAATAACGAGAGCCACTGTTGGTGCATAGCCTACATTCTGTCAAGCATGGGCTTGATGGGCATGATTTTGTTTGATCTTGACGGCAGTCCTGTGAGGTGGCTGCCGTCATCCTGTTTTACAGAGAGAACTGGAATTGAGGGTTGTGAAGAAGTGAACTGACTTGTCCACAATCACAGAGCTAGAGGATGGCAACGGTGAAGCCCTTGTCCAAAACTGGAGTCTTTAACCGCTGTCTTCTCGTGCGTTCGCGGGTGGCCCGAAATGTAGTTTAATTCCGGTCACCAGATTTAGAGTATGTCCCGTATTAAGTGGTGTTTCTATCTCAGACAAGGAAGGAAGGGAAATCATTTGGACGTTTAACTCTTAACCTCTTTGCTTCTTGTCCATTTCCCCACCTAGGACCCAAGCACAGAGGGTACGGAAACCACGGTGCTGCGCAGGGCCGCAGGGCCTGCTTCCCCGCTATTCTGAGAGCCAGGCCGAAGGGCAGGAGCAGCTCTTCAAACTAACAGACAACATACAAGACGAATTGTAAGTTGGAGCCGTGGGAGACCAGCCCTTTTGGTTCACCAGGTTGTCTTTTCTGGCTTTGACTCTGAGAAGTTTCTGTCCGATCTGAGTATCAGCGTGACTCTTAGGCCTTGGAACTGGTCAGCAAGGTTCCTTGGCCCAGATGTTTTATAGATTCAGATATAACAATGGTTCTCAAACTGAGTTCCATAGCGGGACCTTAACGTTGGCAGTCTCCTTCTAATTAGTTCAGAAAGAGAAGATAAAGTGTTCTCAAATCTAAAGGTTTTTTGCCCTGTAAAACTTTCCTAAACTTTGGTGTTTTGTTGTTTGCTGCAGAATGCTCGTAAAGCAAAACAGATAAACAACAAACAAGTGGTAGCTGAAAATTTTGGAAATGCAGTGTTCTTACGGTTGTTTTGTTATTCTTTGAACGTGGAGCCGTGTATACTTAGGATCTTGTTATATTTTCAGTTAGTGAAGTTTTTCCTAGTTGATGTGGTAGAATTCAGTATATCACTATTTTAGGATATTCCGCAGAGACTCTTTTAGCGTAAAATGCTCTGTAACCTAAATAGGTGTTAGAACCACAGTCCAGAGAAAGCAACTAGTTCTGCCTGATAAGTAGCAAAATACTAGTTTAATTTCGCTTAATGCTTATTTATCTCTCTTTAAGATAAAGCAAGCTAGGGCGGGTTCAGAGGACCATGAATGTTTTTTGGCTGGTGGAGGATATCTGAAGTAGAGGTTAGCTCTCAGGAGAGCCTTCGGTGTCGTTGTTAGAAATGCTGTTAAGCTAACCTCATCTCATAGTTTTGTAGCAGTATTTGAACGGGGATATCAAAAGTCAAATCCAGAATTCATTTGTTGCTTGCCGCATGGGATGGCGTCTTCCTAGATGTGTTTTTTGTAACTCAAGCTCCCTGCAGTGTTATTGGAAAGTCTCTCAGTGATGGAGGTGTATTACATTATCGTAGTCAGCTCAGGCTGCCATAACAAGACCGAGTGACTTAAGCAGCAAAAAATTATTTCTCATAGTCTGAGGCTGGGAAGTCCAAGATCAAGGTGCTGGCTGAGTTGGTTCCTGGTGCAGGCTGTCTGCCCGGCTTGCTGATGGCCACCTTCTGGCTGTGTCCTCACATGGCAGAGAAAGGGTGAGCAAGATCTCTGGTGTCCCCTATAGAATCAGGGCCCCACCCTTATGACCTCATTTAACCTTCATTACTTCCTTGCTCCAAATAGGTGGGGACATAATTCTGTCCATAGCATACATCTATCTGCTCTTTTAGTCTAGCCTCCGCTCTGGCCATCACTCCAATAACCAGAATCCCCAGTGTTTCACTCCAGGGAGGGCTTTATATTCCTGCCTGCCTTCGGTGAGGATTTGGTGCCATGGCTGCCCTATATACCACTTTGCTAATGTAACTTTTGGCCTTTGGATCGGAGGCCCAGAGGGTCATTCCCCAGGTGTAGCGGGACATGGTGCCGAGTCTACTAGAATGGCAGCTCCACGAGGGCCGCAGTTTTTGTCGGTTCCATTCATTGAAGAATCCTCAGTACATGGAACAGTGCCTGGCACATACTAGGCACTCAACAAATATTTGTTGAATGAATGATAGTTGGAAAGTTGTTGTACGTTGTGCTTTTAATTTTCTTTCCCACTCACCCTTATTCAAGTGAAACCTTGTGAAATTCATTTTCAAGTCAAACCTTGGTCCTTGTGAAATTCATTTTCAATAGGATGGCATATGCCAAGAACACAGGGAGAAATTGTATACTACAGCTAACATAGGCTTGCTCCCAGTGAGGTACATGCATTGAAAACAGAGCCATGGAAAGCTGAAAACCGAAATCAAAATGAAGTCAGTAAAACAGATTTCATGAAACTCTTAAAATTCATGAGAACTAGGAAAAGATGTTGGCGTGAATGACTTTTGACTCTTAAGATGAAAACCATGTGTCTCTACCCAAGTTTGTGGGTTAAATCTTGCCAGTGAATGTTGAGGAAGCCACATGACCGTAGCCTTCCTCAGCGTACAGGGAAGAAGTCATCGGGGACCTGGCACATGTTCCTCTGCAGTATCCTCGGTTGTCAGGCTGGGTCTCCACGGTGACGTGAATGTTGGAGGCATCCCTCTGCAAGAAAGGCGTTTTCGGGAGAAGCACAGGAGTGCCATAGAATACCTGACTTTTATCCTGGAATCGTAATTAAAAGCATGTTTAAAGACCCAATTATTTGCATATTTTCCTTCAGAGTTAACCCCTTAAAAGGCTCTTTAATACCTTGCCCTACTGTTCTAACTAAATGTTTCCACATTTTTTTCCAGTTAGACTCACTGTTTCACTTCTGGAAAATATTGTGTAATTACTTCCTGATGTAGTGAAACCCCGCGAGGTCCACAGTGCCATGGTTACTTTAACTTTGTTCTCCCAGATCAAGTTTCATTTAATTTTTTATTTTATTTAATTAATTAGTATTAAAAAGATAGTTGCTGACATATGATTGAAGGTCTGGCCAACTGAAAAGGCTTCAGTTTCGAATGAATCAAATATTCCTCTGATATGTTACAAAATTGCCATTACTTTCCGTTTTTCTTGAGTTTGGTTCTGAAATCGGATCCTGGGTTAAGATGCCGTTAAGGTGAAATTCGTTCTATTTATTAAATTAATTTTTCTCTGTAACTAGTGTCTAGTCTGTAGCCAGAAACCTCATTCTCATTAAAAAAAAAAAAAAAAAAAAAAAAAAAAAAAAAAAAA